GTAGTAGTAGTAATAGCATTCGATTTTTCTTATGATTGACTGTTTTAGTCTTTTAGTAAAGCCTTTGTGGGAATTCAGAATGTTTAGTTGGTGCATTATAAAGTGTTGTGCTGACAACTATTCCTCTGGCTATGTTTTTTTTTAACTTATCGTACTATCTACTTTGGGTATTTATCAATCTCAAGTGGTTTCTTTGAACTAACTTGAATTCGTTGAGTTTGATATGTTTCTTAACTAGAAATATCATAGTCGGATGTTATTAACTGTTGTAATTTTGCACTGTTTATTAACCTTGACAACATTCTTACTGTCTTTGGATTTAGTTGGGTTGAATATTGAATCTACACTAAATACATTCAATTACAAAGTTTTAGAATCCAGATCCAATTGTATTACTTATATTTTACGGAAGGGATAAAGAAGAGTGAACTTTATAGCAAGTAGTAGTTTCTTTTGTATTCTAGGTTTACTAAACATAAAGGAAGAGTTTACTGATTGAACAGCAAGGCTCTCTGTTACAAATGCATTGTTAGTGTACAACAGGGTAGTCCGAATAAATAATGTAGAGGCTAAATATAGATTATAAGATAGACAGGACAAATTGATGGATAATCCATAATCTTTCACTGACTGAGTTAACTGGGACGTGTGTTACGGATGTTCAACCATTGTCTACCCTTATGTTCAGTGGTAATTCTCATAATAACAGATGGAAAGAGAAGAGAAAAAAAACGATTCTCGAAATCAATCTGTAAAGTCACTGATTGCTGATTCAAATCTTAAGAGGGGAAAACACTTTAGTAGAATCTGTTTAATAATTCTAATCGATAGTTAAAGTTCTCAAAAGATCTGATTTGGGATCAATCAATATTGAGTTTCTAAGTGATGTTATAAGGTTTTAATGTTGTAATATCTAATTGGTGCCAATAAGATTCAACTTATTTGAACAAGATAAATTTTAAGTTATCAGGGCTCATTACTATTTTCAGTAAATAATATTATTTCATCGAATATTTCAATTACCTTCATATGTATTTTCATTAATTATACTCAAAGAAGTAAATGCAAACCAATTCATTGGTTATATAATATTATATAAAATTGTTGTCAGCCTAAGTTCGGCTTATTTTCACGTGACTTATTCGTCAATCAAAATGCCACTTATATAATCTTAACATTGTGCCAAACCAATGACGTTCGACTGGTATGAACAGCCTAGAGTACTTAGTGGCCCTTTCTATTGCCTAGCCCTACGTATTGAGTCCAAGACATCAATACTAGCTTCCATTATACGAAGCATTTATTTCCAACATACTTGGTTTATATACCAGCCAAACAAACTACATCACACCATAAAAACAGACAGGAAAATTGTCTGATCTCTTTAACTGCTAACATTTCTATCTACATCAATGTTGTCTATTTATACTAGTGGAATTTATGCTGAAAGTTAATTCACTTAATTTATTCATCCACAAATGTAAATAAAACTTTGACAAAAACATACAGAAAATGATACTGTTTATATTTTGATTAAGTGTACACCATTGGTACAGCCTCAAGGGTTTAGAGGTTAAGTGTTCGCTCATACGATCAAAGTTTTTAATCTGAATTCCATATGGAGGGATCGTGTAACAGCATTACTGAGGACCCCGATACTAGGATGACAGGGCTATCTATTGCTTCCTAGTTTCCTATTGTGGTCTATCTAAGATCGATTCGGGATTGAAACCATCAAAATTATACAGTCTCCACTAAAACCTTAAACTGATAAATCCAGTATTGTTAAGATGTGACAGACATGAGATTATATTTCAATTCAGTGTAATACGGATGTGGTGTTTGTGCAGTGGGAACATTCCCTTTTTTTTCAATGTGGTATCGATTCAGTATGACATTCATTTTTATTAATTTACTTTTACATTTGTTGTTTAATATATTACATAACGTATCTACCTCTATGTTTTCACTACACTGTAATCATTTGATAAATTATCAAATGACAGTAATATTTATAGTGGGAAGCCGTGTCCAGTGGAGCTTATCCGTGTCAGGTAGAGATAGGTATCTACCTCGATACAGTGGAAGATGGTTGCATAATTTCGTGGATTGGCTGAGGTTAGACATTAACACTATTGGATGCCGGCTTAATGGTCCAGTAGATTAAGCGTTCACGTGCAAGGTCAAAGGCCTCGAGTTTGAACCCCATGAGTGGGATCGTAGATTCGCACTGCTGAGCGGCCATCCAATACTTCCAAGTATTCAATAGTGGTCTAACATCAATCGGTTCATGATCTCAATCAAAAATATTTATACGTATTTTCATGTATATTTGTATAATAAATTTTTTGTCATATTTTTTTCGGGGTATGAATAAAATCAATATATGCTACCATTAGTTTTATCATCTTTCTTGTATATTATTGTCAATATTAAGTTTTCCCCTGTTCCAACTATTCGTTTTCCCTAGTTTTATGAAATTGTTACTTTAAAAAATAAAAAAATGAATTGCATAACATCTACATTGTATAACATCTATTGCATAACAGTCATTCACTCACTGAATCTTTGATTTTGTTTGTTCCGTACACATAAATTGGGGTTAAATGTACGAATCCATATGGGTTCAGCGATATGTAAGAGACGGGAACGAACTCCGTTAGGAAATGATGGAATTATACGATAGATCACTCAAAATACTTCCGATTTATCTGCATTATGGCCATTATCAATAAGATATGCCAAGATAGAACTGCTTATTGTTTTTATCTGGCCCTTTATAAACCAAGCTGACCTCCTCAGTGTTCATTTACAAATTCAACTGCTCCTGTGGAGACAGCTATATCGGGCGTACTATCAGGTAACTTAAACATCGAATAAATGAATATCTACCAGCTTGGTTTATAAAGGGTCAGATAAAAACAATACGAAGTTCTATCTTGGCACATCTTATTAATAGCGGTCATACTGTGGATAAATCGAAATCATCTTGAGTGATCTATCGTATACGTCGATCATTTATTTTGTATTACTATCTTTTTTTATTCAGTCAATAATCTTTACTTTTATGTAATAGAGTATCTCTATGGTTATTTTATATTAAATGTAATCAGTACTTTTAAAAGTCTTAAATGTACGCAATGAAATACAATAGATCAAATTGTATTCGATGGTTTTATTCATTATATTTAAGATAATGACTATATGGTTTTAGCTTAACATCATAAATATCATGCTGAATATCAGATAAATAAAGAACTTTTTAATTTTCATTTCAGTTGTGACTTTTTTCCCGGTTAATTCATCACATAATTTACTCTCCAATCAAAATACAATTTATAAAATCTTAACACTGTACCAAACCAATGATATATAAACAGTATGAACAGCCTAGCGTAGTTATCGGTCCTTCCTACTGACTAGCCCTGCCTGTAGAGTCCAGGACACTAATACTATCTTTGACTATGCGAATAATTCAAACATACTTAGTTTATATACCAGCCAAACAGACCACATCATACCATAAAATAGTAACTAACATTTGTAGGAGATCAAGTTGATAATGGATCCATGAAATTCTCATCCTCCGAATGCATTTCGTGTTTGTTTGGACAGCATCAGAGCAACTCCCTGAGTGTGTGGAGCACTTTCCTCTTCGTGACCGGAGTACAGCAGTGACTCTCACGTACCTAACATTTTCTGTCCAGTTTGGGTTCAATTGGTTTCGATAATTCCGAAAACCAACAAGTTGTATCGTCTCATTTTCGTTGTTATTTAACTGGCCGTCTTAGTCTCTCACACTTTCCGGAAATTCCATGTGCCTACACTAATTATTGCTGTGGTTGTTAGAAGGCGTATCGACCTTCTCATTAGAACTCCAGAATATATATCTTGAAGCCAGTCACTACTGATCATATATTGTTTAGTATCAGAGGTTTATAGAAGTTTATGAAAAGTTTTGAATTTTTTCACTTTAATTCACAAACTATTCGATACCCAATATTCCCACGAACGTTCACTGCTAAATGGTCCTATACAAGGATAAAACACATGTCCATTACTTCTGAGTCTCCAATATGTATCTAAGATCATTTTTTAAAATAAAAAATAAAAATCTTTTTGACAGGTTAAATATATAACATATAAAATCTAAGTTAAATTAAGTTCAATAATGATTAGCATAAAAGAATGTAAAGAATGAATATTATCATATATATAAATCAATTCGATTTTCTATACCAGTTCCCTTCTGTCTCTCTCCCTCCCTCCCTCTCTCTCTCTCTTAGAAAACAACTAACCTGTACAATATAATTCCATGAATTCATCAACAGGGTTAACATCCATGTCAAAAAAAATATGTTAGAATGTTTCAGTAACTAACTAACTAACTTACCTTGTATATTACCATTGCTTTATTTATCCATTGGATCATACTAAACATAAACGTATATTGGAAAAGATAAGCTTAATGGACAAAGATCTATAATCTCATTTTTGGATATGCATATATATAAGAATACATAGTACAACATCATGTTATTTATTGAACGAATAATGAACTATTGTTAACAAACAATCTAATGTGAATGCATTTTTGTGATTTATTTTGATAGTTGATCATTGAATGTGATCATTAGAAGAAGTTAGATATTCTTGTGAGATTCTAAAACTTGTCATTATGTCATACTTAGTGATGTTACTAAAATAAACCCGGTAATAGATTGAATGACACAGGTTAGAGTCCCTAAAGTTTGATAAAAGCCTCTTATTGATGAGTCCAGATCATCATAAAATATGAGTTTATAGTTTTGTAATAATTATGTTCAACTAGATACCACTAAGCTCAGTGGATTGAAATGTCAAGTATCTTATCCTGCCCAATAAAATTCATATCAATTTATTCATCTACCATTCATATATCTATGTTTTTGGCTTAAACAACATTAGGTGAATAAAAGTTAAAGTATTACATTGCCATCTTATTTACAATTTTCAGAATCATGACACGGTATAAAGTGTTGAATTACATTTTCTTTGAGATGGTGCAGCATATTTGAAGCTTTTATAGATGATTATGGTGAACTTTCCTTATTTCAACTGTATGGTTTAGTCCATCATCATCATCATCATCATCATCATCATCATCATCATCATCATCATCATCATCATCATCATCATCATCATCATCATCATCATCATCATCATCATCATCATCATCATCATCATCATCATCATCATCATCATCATCATCATCATCATCATCATCATCATCATCATCATCATCATCATCATCATCATCATCATCATCATGATCATCATCATCATCATCATCATCATCATCATCATCATCATCATCATCATCATCATCATCATCATCATCATCATCATCATCATCATCATCATCATCATCATCATCATCATCATCATCATCATCATCATCATCATCATCATCATCATCATCATCATCATCATCATCATCATCATCATCATCATCATCATCATCATCATCATCATCATCATCATCATCATCATCATCATCATCATCATCATCATCATCATCATCATCATCATCATCATCATCATCATCATCATCATCATCATCATCATCATCATCATCATCATCATCATCATCATCATCATCATCATCATCATCATCATCATCATCATCATCATCATCATCATCATCATCATCATCATCATCATCATCATCATCATCATCATCATCATCATCATCATCATCATCATCATCATCATCATCATCAAATAGAAGTCACTAAATTCAGCATGCTATTTTTGTTTTGTCTATTTATTTATTTATGAATTCAATCTGTTACGTATAATTAATATTTCATAATATGAAATCATGTGGAATTTAAAGTAACTTTCTGTATCTAAACAAAATTTCAGTGACGTTAGAATAAATATTATTGAAAATAGTCACAAAATTAATAATAGAGCATAATAATGGACAAAGATAGATAGTGGATATCAATGGAATCTAAGACACGCGTTTAGTCTTTTTTGAGACTCGTCAGTTGTATCTCAGAGTTGATATTCACTCTGCTACTCAAAATCACTAGCGTTCGCCTCAAACGCCCACTCATTATTTTGATGGAGTTTTGTTCTCTGAGCTGGATGGTTTGGTCGTGGAGCTTTCATCGTTCTTCTGAACGACATCATCAGCAAAAACTTCAGATAGAAGTGAAGTGTTCGAATTTCTCCATATGCGTTTCACAGCTTGTTCTGTGCACCTCGATGTGCTGATGATGTCGTTCAGAAGAACGATAAAAGCTCCACGACCAAACCATCCAGCTCAGAGAACAAAACTCCATCAAACTCATCCACTTGAGCTACAAATCTTCTCCACCAGCCCACTCATTATCCACAATACCAAGTGAATATTAAGTGTAATAATGTTTATTGTGACTTTAAGGAGGAAAATATTGTCTATAAAAGTCTCAGTGATTGAACTTTAAGTAAATGCAACGTGTTATACTGATTCAGCTCTTAATTACTGTGAAACTATTTGTTCAAATTTAGATAAAAGTCTGCATCAAATTCATTATGACTGTTCATTATCATCAAGGAGGAATCTGTTTGCGAAACAATAACACAAGTAAGAATGTAAAAATTTAAATGTTATCTAACTAAAATTGAAAAATTCAAACATTGAATTTATGAGTCGCTGTAAGCAAGAACACCATTGGAAACCTGAAAGCACTTGACGGTTGTTCCGTTCTAGTATAGGACTCCTCAGCAGTGCACACTAACGTTCCCGCATATGGAACTCGAAGCCAGGACCTTGCGTCTTACACGTGAACGCTTGACCCCTAGACCACTGAGCCTACATCCGACGGTGTTAATGTCTTCAAGATGATTTCATGGGGCCTTAGTGAGAAGCGTTGAGCAGTGGACTGCAATCCCCGTCGGGTATAGACAGGTATCTACCTCAAACAATGAATGAATGGTTGGTCAAGTTCATGGAGCCATTAAAGTCAGATATTAACACAATTGGATGCCAGCGCAGTGGTCCGGAGGTCAAGCGTTCGTGCGTGAGACCCAAAGTCCTGGCTTCGAATCCCACATGCGGGATCAAGAATGATTACTGCTGAGGAGTCTCATACTGGAACGAAACAACTGTCTAGTGCTTCCAGGTTTCCGATGGTAGTCTAGCTTACATCAATTCATAAACTCAACTGTTACAATTACTACAATCTCCACAAAACCCCTTCTGAAAATAACTAAACTGAGCATATTCATGTCCTTCTTATTATGAGCCTTATTTTAACCTGTGAACTATTATTATACGGTCTACCATTCTTGAATTATGTCCTGTCGATTAATTACTACCTCTCTGATTCGCAGTCACATTTGGCTAATTCTTGTATAAATGTTGTTTTCTATTTTATAGTACGATGTGGTCTGTTTGATTTATATGTAAACCCAGTATCCTTGAAATAAATGATTCATATCGCAGAAGCTGAGATTGGTGTTCTGGACTTAACTGGCTGCGCTAGACGGAAAGTAGGACCAATCAGGACTCTAAACTGCTCGCACGTGTTTTACGCGTCATTTGTCCAGTCGACAATTCACTGCTCTCCATTTGGCGGTATCGTTACGTTATACATTAACAAGGCACACAGGCCACAAGTTATGACAGTAATTTTTTACCAAGGCCTATCAGACTCAAAGTCCTTCAAACGAAGGAAGCAGTAGCTATCTGGATTAAGAAACCGGAGCCATGTGTACAACAGAATTATCCTCAGGAGCTTCTAGTGCCTTGGCCAACGTCAGGTTCAATTAATCAATAGCAATCTTAGCTATTGAATGACCTAATTTGACTAATCCACTTATAACCTTTCTTAGTCAAATATAATTGTCTTTGTTATCTTTATTCACATATCTCTGTATTATTATTATTATTATTATTATTATTATTATTATTATTATCAATGGCTAAACATCATTATTAATCTCCTCAATACATGATTCGTTTACTTTGCTTTCATCCCACTTTGTTACTTTTTACTAATTTCATATAAAATGTTTATCCAATATAGTCTTCCACTAAACGTTTGTTAGAATTTGTAATTACATTATTATTTCTCTTACCCTATCTCACCCATATTTGTTCTGATCATAGATCTTAACATTTTCACTTAACATACAAGCTGATTCAAGTCAGCATTCTATGTGAGTCATATCAGCAATAACAATGTCATTCTAAATTCACATGCTTTCACTTTAAACGATGTACTTTACCTTTAACCTGGTCATTTTTCGAATTATCAGTATAGGGTTGTGGAGATTGTTAAGTTATTAGTTGAGATCTTGAACCGATTGATGTTAGACCACCATTGAATACCTGGAAGCACTGTATAGCCGTTTCGTCTGATTATGGGACTCCTCAACAGTGCGTTCGGTGATCTAGCTTCAAATGACTCATAATCTCAACTATTGAGATTACTACAATCTCCACAAAGCCCCTTCTGATATTAAACGACAATATATACTCACTAATGACTGGTTCCAAACCAATGGTGCACATGAGCTCCAGGATCCTGAGGGAACAAATGGCGTATAAACCTATTGTTGGCCACCGGCTACCGTGGGAATACATCTCTTGACGTTGCTCTACTGACTTGTAGATTAGACTTCTAGGTCAAAGAATCCAGCTGTGGCCTCCTTAGAAATCCACCTGCTTTAATTTGGGCACCCTGAAAGATCACAGCCCTTACACAAATCATTGATAACTACTACTAGCCTCATTGTTAATGTGTGGCGTATATGTATTCAGTGCCCCCTTGTATCAATGTTTATGCGTTAAAATAAATAATGCATTAGTTGTTGCAGGAAAATGATGAATTGCAATTCAAGATTACCCTGAAGAAGTCCAGACAAGTTAGCTGGACGAAACGTTGGAATTATTTAAATTTCAATCACTGAGATTATTTCAAATATAATTTTCAAATATAATGACTTCTCTATACTCGGCGCCCAATTTCTGTCAAACTATTCGTTCTAATCTTGACGAATATTCGTATAAATTGTTTCCCAATCGAATTAAGATTGACAATTGTTTTCTTTCTAGACAAATAATTTGGATTGAATTCGTTTAGTGATCGATGTAAAACTAATAAATACATGATAATATACCGGATCAGTTAAAGAAATGTAATGTCGAGTCACCTAGACTGGTGGCCACATTGCAACGTGATCGATAGCATTCGATCTGCACTAATAATAAGGACTAGACACGCATGACGTCAGTCACTACCCAGTGATCAATCAATTGTGATTACATCTCAGTCCTACAGGAGGTTGGTCGCGGCCCGGATAGCTCAGTGGTAACGTCTCTGACTGTGAAGCTGGGTGACACGGGATCAAATCGGTCAGGGAGCATTAGTGCCGAGTAGCACGAAACCCGGATCCAGGGTTTCCTGTCGACGACATTGAACCATCATCTAATCTTACAATAGTGTCGAGTCACCTAGACTGGTGGCCACATTGCAACATGACTGATAGAATTCGATTTGCACTAATAATAAGGACTAGACGAGCATGACATTGGTCACCCAGTGATCAATCAATTGTGAAAGAAATGTAACTTGTTACAAATTAATATTTTAGCTCAAGTTGAAAATAAAATAACCAAAATTCCTTCATGCTTACCTACTTATGCGTGTTACCTATCAAGGAGGAGAACTGGCCACCTGCCATCATTCGCCATCCAACCCTGTCCTGAAAAATTCTTTCCAGTTTCTATTCATCCTTTTCATGTCTGCCTACTTGGCGTAATGTGTTCTTTGGTCTTCCACTCCTCCTCCTCCTTCTTCTTCTTTGACCCTATGTATTCCAAGTGACGCAGTTCGGTGCTTTCCTCAATGTGTGTCCTATTCACTTCCAGCACTTCTTCCTGATCTCTTCCTCCACTGGAATCTAGTTTGTTCTCTTCAACAATAGGTTGTTTTTGATTGTGTCTGGCAAACGGATCCGAAGTATTTTGCGTAGACAACTGTTAATAAACACTTGTATCTTCTAAAGGATAACTTTCGTAATTCTCCAAATTTCCACCTCATACATTAGAACAGTCTTGACATTTGTATTGAAAAATTGTGACTTTGGTGTTGGTTACCAATCGTTTTGAGTTCCAGATGTTCTTTTTGTTTTTGTTTTTGTTCTTCTTCTTCTTCTTCTTCAACGACAACAACAATCAAGAATAATATTTTTCTAATTTTAGTTTTGCTTTTAGATAAAAACAAAAATTAAAATTTCTAAATAAATGAACTAAAACCTACTACATATTGTAAAA